TATTTTTAATCTAAGTATTACCTACTAAGAGGATTAAGGCGTTACGTTTACGTCGAAGTTGAAACGTCTTGAAATCGTTTTTCACAGTTTTTTTTTTTTGCAGATTTTTCTCAATCGGTTTTTTTCTCATGAGTGATGTAAAGCTGTTACAGCCATGTGCGTGTGTGGAGAATTTCCATGGAAATTGGACAGTAATCAGTTTTCCGATTGCTAGATTATCTTAGTTTATGTCAGATGGAAATTGTGATTAACTTTTAGAGGATTTGTACCCAGTCATTGGTACTTAAAGTTAGTTTCAGCCGATCATAATTAAGTTTATCTGGACTTAATATGACAGAGTTTGGCCGTAATGACAAGGATTTCGTCTTGGTATGAATTAATTTTCTGAGATTTCTCCTTTAATTTTGAATGCGATAAATTGTGTTATTTTTTACAAGCAGAACGATTCATCATGTTTAAGTATATTGTTTAAACTAATCGTCTAAAGGCAAAACGAGAAGTTTTATTTTAATTTTAGTTACTGGCCTACAAAGCATTAGAAGAAGCTCAGAACGAGCTGGAAGTTGGAGTTAGATGATTTTATTTAGTCACTCCATTTAGATTGTTTACATATTATCTAAGTACAATAAACTAACATTTGAATGTCAAACAATGAAACAAGTCGCTTGGCATTTTGTCAGAATGGAAGAGGAAATCAATAACAAAGGGAAGGACATTTCTGCATCAACCTGCATAAGCCATTTCTTGTCGTTTGAAGTAGAATTCGCTTAATAACTTTTGTCCATTTCTTTGAATAAGTTAATTGAATGAGAGATAAACTTCGATATTTTCTGACTCTATAACTGCTAATGACGATCATTGGGAGCCGTTTCTTAGGATGTCACGCTACGCACTCCTTTAGTTCGTTGCGCGACAGAGAATGTTTTGTCACATCTTGTCGTTTGAAGTAGTGTCCGCACCTATGTCTAATTCGCTCAACTTTTCCCATTTCCTTGGATAGAGTTATTAAATGAGATATAAACCTCGATATTTTCAGATTTTATATCCTCTAGTTTCGTTGGTAGCCGTCACGCAACGCGCTCCTCTTGCATGTAATGCGACAGTTATGATGTTTTGTCATATATCGTTGGAGGCCAGGAAAAAGAAATTACCTTCCACTTTGGGAGATGGTGCTTTATTCTCTTTATCGAAAGCGTCCTCATCATGAGATAATATTGATGAATTTTTTTTCCACGATTGCAAACTTAACTAAAACAGCCTGTTTCAAAAAACCGGAACTTTCTTGAAACTGAGGAGGGCCGACCGAGGGGAATTTTTAACGGCTAAATTGTGGCCATTTTTCTGCTGCGGTTAACCCAGAATAACACAAAGTAACACACTGAGGGAAGGAAAGATTTTTAAATTTTTTTTTTCTATAATTAAACTGTTAACATTTGTCAATTTTTTACGTCTAACAGCTAGTTTTTTGACCGATCTACTGCTAACGGTTAACCCCATTGAGACCCTCGACTGGGTGACATGCAAGATGTGAAATAAAAACAGTTTTATAAGGTGGCATTCGCAATTTGAATTTAGAGTGCTGGTTTTTTGAGGAGTAAGGATCAAACTGGGAGAGACGGGCATGGGAAGAGCGTTGTCACAGATCCACTGGGCATTCCTGTTATGTTCAATCTAAAATGCTTAATTAAGCTAACGCAAAAAAAGGGTCACGCGAGATATTCGCCGACGTCAAGACGAGCAACGATAAATCTCCTTCCCTCTTTTAAGAACGTGAACCGGATCCGAAAAGTCAGTAAGCCCTGATATTTTGACTTCACCCCAGATCTAAAAAACTGCGACAACGTAAATGTTTTAGGGGGGCGTCTCTACTGACGATAGCATATATATTACAGTCATTTTCAAGAAAGAGCCATGGGAAGGGGGGAGGGGTGGGTCGAGGTTCCGTTTATCCTCCCGGTCGGGAGTGTAAATGGCTACGTGGTTTCATGGGTAGCATCACAGGACGGATTCTCAAGAATCTTAGAGCTACGATTTCAGAAGGTAAAGATATGAATTTCCCTGCGTAATTGCTGGACTTAGGCTCCTTTCGTCTGCTTGGACTTTCTCTTCGTGCTCCATAACTCTACTCCATCTACCCACCTTACGGCGGTTTTTAGTATATGCCATACAGGTGAATAGAGCTCTTCACGTGGGCTGATTGGCTAATTTGGAATTAATAGTCGAACATGCATTAAGCGGTCGGTTGTAAAATTCCCGATTTTTTTCCTCTTAAACATTCTCACTTTCAACGCTTTTCAGCGGTGGTCTCTATTTAGCGGTTGTGGTCATTCTTGACTGAGTCCCATCGGCCCGTTCGGGTTGTATGGAACGGTCACTTAGGGCTGAACCACTCGACTAAAACGACGAATTCTCTCTGAAGTAAAATTTATTCCATGTTTGTCTCCCAAAATCAATGTTAGTATATAGATTTCAAATGTTCTCAACTCATCGTAGATTATCTTTCTTCTCAGGATTGTTTGTTTCTGACAAATATTACACAAGAAAACTACGCAAGTGATTTGGTGGTTTATTACACCCATTTTGAAATCACTGGTGGTCTCTGTAATCTGATTGGCTCTAATTGATGCGATTTATTCACGAATCGCACCATTGCAACTTTTGTTTCCAAAACTCTTACTTTTTCCCCCAAAAGATGGATGAATTTTCAGACCGGCTCAGTCAGGTACTGCATCAACAAAATATTTGAACTGACCAAGTCCTTCATTTGAGAATTTCAAAATGGATGTAATAAAGTGGTAATTGAACCTCGTGTCGTGCAATTTTGGTCTGAAATCATACTTGTGATTTCAAATCGAACTCGCGCTGCACGCTCGTTCGATTTTGAAATCACGCAAATGATTTCAACCCAAATTGCACTCCACTCAGTTCAATTACCATTATTAATTACCAAGAGGTCTAACTGTTAGAATTCTAATTTATTGTTATGTTTTTACGCTGCATCATCATTTTGTTGATTTTATTCGATACATTTTTGAACTGAAAATAAGCTACACATTAAAATAAATGATAAATTATGGTATAAAATGTTGTTTTCTTGTCTTTTTTTTGTTAACCTGTATTTAACGGTGATAACACTCAGTGATAACACTCAATCACGCGTTAAACGCGGTTGCTCGATTTAACTGTCCTGGTAAATTTATGAAAGAATGAAATGGATAGTTATAAGACAAAAAGACGAGTTCCCTGATGTCATTACCCTCTGGAGTGTACACCGGTATTTTCGCAAGTTCCTGCCGGACACTCTAAAAGAAAAAAAAATCAGTCATCACTGTTTCCGTTAGGCTATTGACCGATTATTTTCACAATCGTTATACTTGTTTTGCCCCAAACGATAGATTTTTTTCCCTCGGGGTACTTTTCTCTAAATAATGTAGTAATAATCACATTCTTTGTACTGCTTCTTCCAGGTGCCAAAGATTTGGGATGCCAGTGATTTTCCGGGTTTCGGCTGGGACCCCGCCCGGATTAAAACGAGCAAACAAAATTGAATGAAATCCGGTTTCGCCGGTAGTCCCACGATTCCAATATTTCACGTATCAAAAAATGGTCTATTGTTCCGGCTCAACTTCTCACATTAAATGTGGCAATGCACACATCGAGAGTTCAAAATACGTTGTGTCTCATTCAGACCACCTCTCTCCAGTACAGTACTTGCGCGTCTAAATCTCTCTTCGGAAACAATCTTAGCAAAAGTATTCAGTTATCCTAACCAATCCATAAATAATTAGGGGTAAATAACTCATATTAACTATTGTTAAACAAAACGCTTCTTTTGTTGAACAAAGGAATGAACTTTATTTAACTGTCTCAGCATTTTATTTTACTTAAATGCGTTTAGACTGCTTTCGATCGCAAGAAACAAGTTTGGTTACTACTCTTTACAGCAGAAATGGCCTTCGGTTTTTTTTTAATCTTGTTACAAACAAAACACATTTGTCTAGTTTTAGCCGGACGCGAATGAATTACTTTACGAACTGTCAGTAGTTCTTAGAACCGAATTCTAGCAATCATAAAATAATTTTTTTGTTGCTACTGTCTTTAGTTAAGGAATTCTACAATGTTCATACAAGTTTTACGCGCGCGGTAACACTTAAAATCTCTGGAAGGCAGTGGCATTGTGGGCAGCAGATTTAATATCACTTTTCTGTTTGTTTCCCTTCAAGGACGCGGCACGCAACATAGGTGTGATTTTTTTGTTGCATTAATAGAATAAAAAGTCTTCTTCGTAAATAAAACTCTCTCCAGAGTTTGGTTTAGTTAATTTGAAACCGAATTTGAGATACAATGTTCATATTTTTCTGGTTTTTGGCAGTTACGGAGAAAAGTTTTTGTAAAGCCATTGGCCTTTAAGACACTAGAGACATATTTACTCTCCTCAGCCTTTGAATTGAGTGAAGATGGTAGACAGTCAGCCCTCCTGAGTTAAGTTTTGGCTACAGACTTTTTATGGCAAATAGGGTGGTGAGAATCGAAAGCGGGGTATTTGTCGGTGTGGTGAGTTTACGATAGACTTTTGTCTCTAAATTCTCACGAACGCCTCTCGACACATTTAAATCAAGAAAGGGCAAATGTATATCCTTTTCACGCTCAAGGGTAAATTGGATAGACGGCTCTACTGAATTAAAATGCGCTCCGCTTCAGTTCCGGATACCGCAGAAATAACATCATTCACCTTTTTACGCACACGAAGAGTTTTAGTACGTGCGTCATTTGAATGCTTCCTTTCTTTGGTAGATAAATAACCTGAGAGCTGCGAATTCTTAATTCAATAGTCCGTCGAGCGAAAAAGTAAAAAACTGATGGTGGTCGGCAAGTAGCCACCTCCAGCGCTTCGCACAGTTCCGCTCTCCAGTGTTCTTGTCGCACGAATGACTGCTCGTACCTAATGGTTTCTTATTTTCGCGGGACTTTCAAAAATTAAAATTTTTGCGATTTTCAAAAATTCGCATACTTTTAACGTCGTTGATATATTTTTAACCTCTCTCTGCGCACTATTTTTGCCAAATTGCAAATTCTTTTATCGGACAGTCTGTTATCATACTCGTGATAAACAAATCGGACTTCCGCTGCGCGGTCGTCCGATTTTGTTATCACTCCTATAATTACAGACCGAACTGGACTCTACTCAATCCTATTACCATTACTTATTACGCGCAAAAATAATTATGTCTGACTTGTGTAGCGCGCGCAAGATTTGAACTGCTCTCATACTACGAAAGATTAACTTGAGAGCGGCGAAGTCGTGATTCGATAGTCCATCTTCACGATGTTGGAGTTCGCTAACTGTACCAAGCTGTCAGACAAGGGAGACTAAAATTGAAACACACTCAGTTTTCTTTGATTGATTCGAAAATGGCAGATAGTTCAGCAAACAAGACTTTGCAGGAGTAATTACAATGCCGTCGATATTTTCTTGAAAGCGCTTCAGAGCGTGCAAGCCCGCTTGACAGAGAAATAGATTTACAAAAAAATCATCTTCGGTTGCAAATGCTACCATTTGCCTCTCCATGCTTTCCAGATAACATAATTCCCATTTCCGAAGCCAGCAATAGAAATCTACAATTTTTTTTGTTTTTTCAATAAGTACTTTATGTGCTTCCTTACTCACTCCTCTACCACAATCTACGTGTTTAATAAAGCTTAGCCCAGAATTTAGAGCAGTTTCCATTAGAGGAGTAACATTTTGAATAAAAAAAACCCAAAAACTGAAAAAACAACAACAAAAACAACAAAAAAAGCAACAACAACAACAATGCCCAGATACAGACTGTATCATACTGTAGTAACTAAAGAGGGAACCCCCTACATTTTGTGATCTTTATCCCAAACTATAGCAGATGTTCGACAAAGAGAACCACATAGAGCGAACAGTATTCTTCCTGCTGAGTTAGTCTCAAAGTTTTACATTGGAATGTCAAATTAAAGTTGACGCTTCCAAGAGTCACAACAGACGCCGTGAAATGGCGGCATATGCGGCGGAACTTGACAAGAGATGGGTTGCGTTGGAGAGTCACGGCCAGGAACCAGCGGTTGACAGCCTTCTGAGACATGCGCGCCTAACGGGGCTCCCAACTTAAACCTGAAAGACAAAGAGAGAAGAACGGCGATATAAGCTGCGTTTGAGATGCTTGGACGAGATCTGGAGGGACTTCGTCGAGTATTTCAAGTTAATTACCCTTCAAAAAGTTAGTTCATGACAACAAAGGAATCATAGCAATAGATAAAATAGACCAAAAGAAATTATTGATGCTCCAGCCGTAAATAAAACCTAGAATAAAATCGCAAATTTAACCATCGAATATTCATTGCTACACACTTTTTAACATACAAAACGTGACCGCACCTATAACAAAATCGAAACGAAAAGGAAAAGAGGAAAACTTTAACACTTCGAGAGTTTCCTGGAAAAAATCCCATGGATTGTGAACATGTCTACACTTGATTGGCCATGAAAAAAAGTGTGTTCTCAAAATAGCTTTCTGTCGATATTGCTTTCACAGCTTCTCGCCGATAAACTGCGAAGCTAAGACGGATGCTAAGGTTTCTTAAGAGGAAATGAAAGAATAGCTGAGAGAGATAAGAAGCCGAGTGCATACTTGTTCCCAGTGCCGCTCGTCTTTTCGTATACGGCGGGTCTAAGAAGAGGGAATGAATCGTGTACATTTATATTTGCGGCGCGACCCTTTTTGCCCGCGCAACTTTAAAGGAGCAATAAAGCCAGTAGTGTTAGTAATTAAGAATCAGAGTTCTCCACAACTTTATGACAACATTTTATCACGTTAAAAAATAACTTCCAAATATTATTAGTTATCATTTAAACTTCTATTTGATACGATCACATCAGCCAAAACTTTAACTTACAGCTTTGAAATAGAAGACAATTTCAAGAACGTATGAGGAAAGCAAGTTTAACTTTGCTTGAATATTGGCCCTTGTTAAGAGGTTAGTGTATCCGGCGCTCACTGGAAGACTTTCTTTGAACATTAAGAACATATCTACGGCGTCAATGAATGACAGTCAGAGATATGGTCCAACTGATCAATATCGTTATTTCCTCAACTGCAGAGGGCTTTGTTTTCCTCGTTCCGGATATATGCAAACTGAAGACGAAAGAAGTGATACAATATTAAAACAAGAGGGCTACCAAAAGGTTTTATAATACTAAAATATCTAAACGATGCAAGACAAGAGGAAAGCAACTAAGTACGATTTGAAAAGAGATAGTAAATATATCGTTGCTGATTGTTGCACCTTGCACATTGGCAATTTTCACTCTTCCATTTTTCAATTTCCTCTTTTGCATCTGGCTTTGATCCAAATAGGGTCAACTTCGACCATAAAGTCCTCTATGTATTACATTCCAACAGTCCTTCAGAACAGCTTCGGTTGGATTCGATTATGAATGTAGCTTTCCAACTTTCGTTACGTTGAAGCCCATCTCGCCAGCGAGATCACGAATGGCGCAATGGATCACGCTTAACTATCAGCTGTCTCCACACTCTGAATGATAAACTGCCGATGACGTTGTTGGCTTTGCAAAACTGTGAACCTAGTTTTGAAATCAGATAAAGAACCTAAAGATAAACCTTTATAGAATGAGCAATGAATTCTTTGTGATATAAATTACTGAGCTTCCAGATATGGTATAGTAACGTTGACCTTGCCATTCAGTTAATTGTTATTGAATAGTGAGGGAGAAACACAGCGGGCTCATATAATACTGGTTACGAAGACCTTCTGGATTAACTATCAAGATACCGACATTCAGGAAAATGAAAATAACAAACTAACTCATTTCCAGCGAAAATTTGACTTTGTTTCAAATGATTATCACTAGATAAGCAACTGGTTATCTCAGAGATCATGAGCAAACCTGTCCAAAGTTGCAAAGCTGTGAAGCTAGTTTGTAGATCAGATAAAGAAAACACATCTTTACAGAATAAGCAATGATTTCTTTGAGATATAAATCATAAACTCTTTTACTCTACGGCGAAGCAGCCAGTGACGATAAAATGACATCTAAGTTGACAGCTGCCTATCCGGAAATGACAAGTGAGAGAGAATTGCGGAGGATATCCAGGGCGTAAAATTGCGCCTAAAACAGGCGCCAATGCGACTAAATTTTTCACTTTGGCGACCAAATCCTGAAAAGTAGTGGCCAAATTGGCGACCAGAATGCTTCATCATAACCATAGCTAGAGATATAGTGAATGTAAAAGATTTGCAAAGATAAATCCGCGGCAAACTTCCTCGTTAAATTTGTTTCCAAAACGCAGCACGTGCGTCTCGATCGAAAACTAGACGCCATCTTGGATTTAGGTGAGCTTAAGGTTGTATATCACCCATCTTAGTGTCCACTTTGTAGAACTTTGTAGAACTTAATTTTGGAGGGTCTATCTAGAACTCTCATAGCGTAAAAAAAGGGTTTTTTTGTCTCTAAAATGGCGACCAACGTTTTATGAATTGGCTACCACTTTGAAAAATTTAGAAGCCAAGTGGCTGTCAGAAAAAAAAAAAAATTCACGCCCTGATATCCTGACCTAAGGAATTTTTTAAAGCTATTTATGAGTGAAGGTCGAAGATAGTTCACCCCAACTATATCTGTGATCAAGACCCTCTGGATTAATTCCGCTGATATCGACATGTAGAGAAGGAGAGTTTATCAACCAATACAGAAATTTGGATGAAGAGACAATTAATAGAGGCAATCGCATCGGGCCAAGTAGAATTAGGGATTAATATCATGCATGCTTAAATTGCCCAATTCACGCAAGGACGATCGCGACGGCCCAATAGACCTTATTTGCGCTCAGGTCACGTGGTCTGTATTAGGTGAACAATCTCAACAAGTATATATGTATGAAAAATTAGGAGATCCTCGCAGCTAAGAACACTGCTGAAACGAGTAGTTGTAAATAGGACCTGAAAAAAATTCAGGCCCGTACGGGATTTGAACCCATGACCTCTGCGATACCGGTGCAGCGCTCTACCAATTGAGCTAACAAGCCCACTGGGAGCTGGTCAATGAATTGGGTACAAATAAACATCCAAGTGAATGAAGATTTTAGATATATGAAAATTTCACATATTTGCACTGCGGTGGAGAGATGAAAAATTAGGAGATCCTCGCAGCTAAGAACACTACTGAAACGGTTTAAATCCCGTACGGGCCTGAATTTTTTTCAGGTCCTATTTACAACTACTCGTTTCAGTAGTGTTCTTAGCTGCGAGGACATGGTTTGGATCAGACGAAGGAATAGCAATTTTTTCGGTGCACGCCATAGATTTTTTTTTAATCGTAAAATGAATAGAGTTGTAAATTTGGACCATGTTTGCATATAAATAATAGCCGAAACATGTGACTCAAATCTGCACCAACATGGCGGAAATTAATTCTATGGCATCACGTGAAAACGATCTGAACTGACATCGTGACGTACGCGGCGGCGAATAAGGTCTATTCTGCAACTTCTGTAAATGCAAGTGATATTAATCCTTAACTATACCGGGAAACATGCGATTACTTGTTTATGAAGTAAAGGGCAAAATCACTTCTTATTCAGATGGTCAACATGGCACACTGTTGCGCAATTTCGTAGGAAGCCATGTCCAGTTAGCGTCGATGAACTGTAAAACGCACGAATCAGCTGATTGAAATTAAATCGTTGTACAACAAGTTAAGCCGTTGTTATGGTTTTTTTAAACGTTTAAAAGTTGCATTGAAAGGTTCAAACGCTACTCAGAGTCAACAGGACGCTGAAGTATCTTCATGAAAAATAATTTAAGTGTCGTTACAGCGACTGAAATCGTACACAGGTTAGCTTGAGGTACATGAGGCAGCAAATGTTGGACAATTTTGTGGTAATAGCTGACTCATTGCACCTCTTGGCTTGTCAACGACTCCTAACATTATTTGTTGTTCTCGCTCGTCTCCTGAATCAAAATCTTAGGTTAATGTGCACCTGTAATATTATTCATTTTGCACTTCAGAACTTTTCAGCTTCGTCACCACAGTTTTCCTAGCGCTATATTGATCATCTTTTCTGAGGCGGTGAGCTCTTTTTCATTTTCTGAACTCGGCATAAAATTTCAACAGTGTTTTGTCAAGAATTTCGCGTTTGCACACCTCTAGATTTTTTTCCTGCTCTCCTTGATTTGCCTACTTCACGAAAACGGTTTTCAGTATTCTGTTCATTTTCGGTGGTTTGTCTCGTTTCTTCAATAAATACATCATTCACTGCTTCTAAAGGAGACACTTTCGTTTCTAAAACAACCAGAAACAATACAATTTTTTCGCTGTTGCCAAGAGACCTAAGAATCAATCAACTTCGAGTAATTATACCCGGGGTAATCATCAAAGTTAACGATAAATGCCCACCGTCCCAGTCAATTAGAATTTCGTTATTTTGCCCTCTACATTATAAGTTATGATAATCTCACATATCATGAGCAAACCTTTTTCTTCCAAGGCCTCTCCATTCGCTTGTCCAGGGAGTGCGAGTTCGTATTGAACCTCTGACAACAAACCATCTTCAAGAAGGTGGACAACCTCTTCAGCAAGATGCACAATCTGTGTGACTGGAAGTATAAATAAAAAAGGGACGCCTTAGAGTAGAGGGTGTACAGCGATACACCTAGTCATTTCTTTAAATAATTTTAAAATATTGAGAGAGAGAATGTAGGTGATTCCCTAAGGCTTGAGTGACTGAAATTAAAATTAAGGTAGTTATAGCAGGTCAAAGAAATTAAATTTGGCCAGTAACAGGCAGTAACAGAGATATGTGATCGAAACTCGGAACACCGCCATAAGGAGGGCATTCACTTTTCTCTCAGAAGAAGGGCCTCACCGTAAATTTCAATGAGATGGACATGGGTGAGTAGTGACAAAGTTCAGATTAGGAGCATAGAACGAGTGAAGAACGTCGATAGTCAGACCTCATTTAGGGACAAGTCTGATAAAATTCGGCTGAAGAGACAATGAATTTCTCAACTGTTCCTAAGTCATGTCGTTGCCACTTCTACTCGCAAAGTTTATAGGTAGCTGCACACACGGAGCACTCTGACGCATAGACCACTCGTTTTGTCAATTGACTACTTGGGGTTAGCAAGCAGTGAGGGAGGAACATAGTCGGCCCCTAAGCCATGGATGACTATGACCATGTCAATTGATTGTCTCAGTGGTATCAGGAGGAATGAAAGAAGCGTAGTCAGCCTCTTACCCCAAATCGCAAGCGTCCCAAGTTCACGTCTCGAGGAAAAGGAAAAGATTAATTCGTAACAGCATCACATTTTGTATGACGCGGTGCTAAGTTACGCGAGGAACCGTTGAGAATTTCGACCGTTGTCATTACGATTGGCAATTTTTCATCCAAAGTTCACGATTTAAGATCATCCCAACCTGGAAAATGCTTCTATTCCAAAACTCCTTGCGCATTACACTGAAAACGAGCGTTTTCCACCAGCGTTTCCAAGTTCGCTTCCTTCTACCTCTGCTTTTGATGTCAAGATCGGACGCGGCCGCGGAAGAAGCTCGGGTCCTAGGTAAATTTTCTCTCGATCGTATATGTAGTGATGTTAGACGTATATCAAGTTAAGCGACGTGGGTGGTAACTGCCTCCGCTTGGACTACGGTCGAAAATCGTAGTGTGTAGCCTTAATTCTGTCTTATAACAGGAATAACAGTGATAGCAAAGCAAGTCTAAAACGCGGGCAGAGAACACCAGAAACCACAACGGACACTCAAAGAATGAGCAAGTTTCATCAATCTTTAGTATAAAACATTCATGTTTTTGAACATTTAGCGTCGTAAATCGACCATATTTCTTTCCCCACCCTATGGTCTACTATTTCTTATATCGCGTTCAAATTCCCAAAGGCTCCTCGCGTAACTTTACACCTCGTCACGCAGCGCGTGACGCGTTCACGAATTAATCTTTTACTTTTTCTCGAGACGTGAGCCTGGGACGCCTGTGGCTGAACAAGAAGGATATGAATGAGTGGGTGAGTTTTGGAAACAGTTAAAATGGAGAAGCAGGGCGAAGAAGCCAGTCATTCTATCAATTCATACTTGAGGGGAGGGGTGGGGGGCGCATTGGGGTCTATTAGAAACTGCAAAACCGTACAAAAAATAATCGCAAACGCCCCAAAAAATTCGATCAAAACTTAAACCTGCATGAAATACTCGCCGCCCTTCCGCTCATAGTAAAAAAACGTGGCACGATCCACAACTTGGGGTCCTCGAGCTTCTTCCGTTGCCAGCGCGTGAGGCGCGTTGAAAGCCATATTTTGCCAACCGATCGACTTGAGTGCTCCACACTGCAAGGCCAAATCTTGAGCGCTATTTGAGACGCGTGACCTCCTAAGGATCCTTGCGATATTCTAACTTTGCAAAGCTATTTTTGTGATATTTGGTTTGTCACGCATTCCTCTCAATAACATTTTCGTTTCGCGTCGCTATTTGAGTTCAGAAGGTGACATGTCCATCTCACTAAATTACATACCTATTATTTCGTACGCCTCCATTTTGAAGAAACGATATAAGCCCGTTAAAGAACGTTAGGCCTTGAAAACGGAAGTCTACAGTCGGCATCTCACTAAAAGAGCACTTTGCAAAAGAGAAACTAACCACCATCTCCGCAAAAATGATTTGTGCATTGTGAGCATTGCTTTATATAGCCCAGAGGTCGTCACATAATTTTTGACTTAGCGAAAAGTGATTTGCCGACGTTGAGTATGCTCCTTACATCAAAGAAAACTACGCCACCACTCGAGGTCAAACCAAATTTAGAACGCTTGATGTAATTTTCCGAGAACTAGAGTCACGGCTACGATTTCCCGCCAAAACTCTCCAGTTAATGATATGCTTTGCATATAATTAATTGTCATATTATGTATCGAAACTTTCCGTGACATAGCGGCGGAATCCATGTTAATCATTGAGGAACGCAATCATGAAACAAAAGCTAAAGCAGAGTACTTCAATAGGCTATCTTCATACCTTTCCTTCCACACTCGTTTCGTACTTGGGCCGCCATTGTGGGAAAACGGTTAAAGAACGTTACGCTATGGTAATAAAAGTCCACAGTCTGTCTGTTTCATGAGAAATCTACTAGCATAAGATAACCTCACCTTCCACCATCTTCACAAAAGTGACCTAAGGATCGTGAATATTACCTTAATAAAACCCAAAGGTCGTCAGCTCTCTTTGACGTGGCAAACAGTGATTTGCCAATGCTAGAACACGTGCCTTAGTAACAGAGAAAGAAAGTAAACCACACCACTGCAATGACCAATCATAGCAAATGTCAATACCATTCAAGGTCGAGCCAACTTTCGAGCGCGTGATGTGATTTTCCGAGAAGTACAAGAACCACGAGGGCGTCATGTGGGATATGATTTTTTAGAAAGAAAAACACGTGTCCCCAAAATCAGTTTGTTATTTAGCAAGCTTAAACGGCAGAAATCGCCAGAAACTACGACGGACACACAGGATGTAAGTAAGTTTTACTGATTTCACGAGTAAAATGTTAATATTTCGAAATATTTATCGTTGTAAATTGACCATATTTCGTTCCTAAACGGTTCCTCCCGTAACTTTTTACACCGAGTCACACAACGCGTGACGTTTTATGAATTAAACTTGGCTTTTTCTCCAGACGTGAGCTTGGGCCACCTGTGTACTAGCAAGCATTTCCTTCATTTTTTCATACAATAAAATGCTGGAATTTATATTTTTGTCTCTTTCGTTTTGTGCTAGAAAATTAAGACTTTTTTCTGTGAGAAGTACATCAGCTCATCAGAACTTACCTCCGCATACTTAATCACGGCTGTACTAAATAGTTTTGTCTTTTATTATCTTGTGAGCTCAATGCCTTTGTAATCAGATATCGATCTCGAGATTCGATCATTGTAGTTTGGGTCGCCTGAAGGGTTTCCACTGGCGACGAACAAACAGGATTTATACCGAGAGTTAACCTGTATCATTCATGTGTTGTTGGCTGCGCGTTAAAATTTTGTATCTACCGTAAAACATACTACCGACCTGCCGCTCGCTGTACGAAGGCACCACAGAAATTTAGACTCCTTGAGAAGATATATCAAATGCTTTCGCTTGATATGAAATATTTGGTAATCTCTTACTCTTTAGATCAGTCTTCTAAATTAGATCACCGAGGTATCGAGCGCTGTTTAACTTATGTCGTAAAATTCGAAGCCAAACATCATGAAAATCTCACAGTGTAAATTTAAATTTTTTTGGTGTCACCGTTCTTTCCCCGCGTGACTTTCGATTTCTAATCAGAAGCAAGAGCCAAAGCTTAACACAAATCACCCTCCAGGAAAAAAGTGGATGAATTCAGTCCGTATGTGCCTTGACATCAAATTAATAGCCATGCGAACAAATTTGTTTGGATTCGCTGTATCGTAAATCATGTTCGAAGCTCGTTAGGTGGTTAATATTTCGTAAATGGCATGGGAAGATACAAATTATTTGATGGAGACAGTCAACAATCCCCACTGTAGCCCTTCGACAGGAAGCATCATCATGAAATCCCATTCATTTTACTAAGAGAACACCTCTAAAAAGTTGTTCGTCGACACAAAATTATGAAACAACTTTTCAGACTTCGAGCGAATGGTTTATATTTAAACTTTGAATCGCTGCTTATGCGCTGTAGCAGTTTATATAAGTGTCTTTGTGGTACTTTAAATAAAATTCTCAGCCGATATGAGATTCGTGAAACTTAGGTTACAATGTAAACACAGCTACAGCTAGCTGAACTCTCAACTCGACAAATTTAGTTTTAAAACTAAATTGATCATGTGGATTGGCCACCTTTGGGAGATTATAAAGCTGATGTTTCGAGCGTTAGCCCTTCGTCAGAGCGAAGCTTGAAAACTTCAGCTGGACAATTTCAGCAGAATGCAGCTGTGGAGTTACCAAATGGAGAAAGAAACTCACATAAATCGTATCACTGCGGACAATGACATGAAATTATTGATGCTCCAGCGGTAAACAAAACCTAGAATAACATCGCAACTTTAACCATCGAATATTAATTGCTACACACTTTTAAAAAAAAAAAAAAAAAAAAAGCGTGGCCACACCGAAGGTAAGATCTAAACGATAAGGAAAAGGGAAAAACCCTTATATTGTAAACACATCGAGTTTCAGGGAAAAGTCCCAGGTATTGTGAACATGTCTACACTAGGCTGAACGTGATAGAAAAAACTTCCGGTCAAAATAGCCCTCTGTCGATGCTGCTTTTACTTCTCGCCGATAAAAAGCGAGGTGAAAATGGAAGCTTATGACTCTAAAGAGGTGGCGAACAAAACCTTTCTAAACTTTTAATCGCTGCTTTCTGCTAATGCGCTGTAGCAGTTTATATACGCGTCTTTGTGTTACTTCAAATAAAATTCTCGACCGATATGTGGTTCGGAAACTTTAGCTTACAAAGTTAACACAGCTACAACTAGCTCCTCTCTTAACTCAACAAATTGGGTTTTTTTCAGTTGGATTAATGATGTGAATTGGCCACTTTAGTGAGATTATAGACCTGACGTTTCGAGCTTTAGCCCTTCGTCAGGGAGAAGTTAGAAACTTCAGTTGTACAATTTCAGCAGAATTCAACTGTGGAGTTACTAAATAGAGAAAGAAACCTGCGTAAATCGTATCACTGCTGACTATGACATGAAATTATTGATGCTCCAGCCGTAAACAAAACCTAGAACACAATCGCAAGTTTAACTATCGAATATCCATTGCTACACACTTTTTAACAACCAAAGCGTGACCACAAGATCTAAAAGATAAGGAAAAGGAAAACCTTTGTATTGTTAACATATCGAGAGTTTCCCGGAAAAATACACTTGACTAGCGATAAAAAAAAATGCGTTCTAAAAAAATAACTCTGCGTCGATACTGCTTTTTCAGCTTCTCGTCGATAAACCGTGAAGTGGAAAAGGAAGCTCAGGGTTCTGAAGAGGACATGAAAGAATAGCTGGGAAAGATAAGAAGCCGGGTGCGTGCTTGTTCTCAGTGCCGCTTGGTTTTTTCGTATCCGGCGGGGTCAAAGAAAAGGGATGTAGCGTTGCAGTTGTGTCTTCCGTTCTAGTTATGTCCTCACACCTAATAATCAATAGAGTGCGGTTTAATTTTTCCCGATCAAAGTGCGTTGTGATCGTGTCTTCTCCGTGTCACTTCCCAACTAGGGGAGAGAAGCAATGCAAAAGTGTTAGAAGATCATAAAGATTTCCTCGCTCGAAGTTTGAGAATTTCAAAAGGGGTTAATTCTGTGAAATTCATCCTTTCAGTGGAACATATCCTACTGACTTGCCGTAGCCATCTTTACGCAGATTCTCTATTTGATCAGTGAATTCTAGAAAAATGGGGTAAATTCTGTGAAATTCATCCTTTTAAGTAGATTATGTCCTGCTGACTTACCATAGCCATCTTTACCCCGATTTTCCATCAGATCATTGTACGTGTGAATTTGTCTTAACCGGGGTAAATTATGACAAATCCACCTACAAGTGCAATATTCAATGATTTAGAAACAGAAAAGAAAAAAAAACACAAAACAACAACAACAACAAATACATTGTATATATCGACAATCCATGGTTTAGGAACCCATGTGTTATATCTCTGCCAGCGACATCCTATCTTCAACAAGAAAGTCCATTCTTATGTGATTACAAGAGAACTGGTTTTATGTAAACGCAAGAGGCTTTGAGAAGGTCCCAGGATAAAACAGACTGACGAAGCATCGTTGCTGAGTATTTACCCCTTTGTCGGTCGGTGGTTTTTATTTAGGTAATTGAAAGATGGGATGGAAAGCATGCATGACTCAGTGTTGTTCTTGAACGGCCACCGTACTGGCAAGGAATTTGGTTTTCAAAGTTTGTCTTTCAAATCAGCTTGACGCGCTCTGTGGGATAACAACAGAGCGCTCTGTGAAGGTATAAAGTATACGGATAGCTGCAACAGCTAAACTCAGAGGAACTGCAATAAAGTCACAATCTACTACTTCAACTTTTTTAACGGAGGGCTCAGTGCGATACAGCAAAAACTTACAATATTCCAAATAAAAAACTGAAAGCCAAACTCTGTGAATGAAGGAAGACTTCGTGACGCAGACAAATAATCATACCTTTGACCTCTCAGTCGATCTCACCTTTGGTAGATCAGGATGAAGCGTCAAAAATATATAATTTTATGTCGACGAACCATAATCTTATAGTATGATCTTCAGCTAATAAAGAAAATAAAATAATTGTGATATGACGCCACATTGTGCTTTTGTCTTAGCTTGTGGATAAAATGTTGTCAATGGAGTCACAAGCCGAGCAGTGAGGACTGTAAATAAAGCAAGACTGCAAATATAGCGTGAACAATAACGTATCCTTTGGTCGAAAATTGCTTTGTTATTTACTCGGCAAGTTGTTCTTCCACGTTTAGGTTATAACAACGATGCGAACACACGGCCTTAACGAAGAAACGATAGAACTCACTTCAAGGGAAGTAGCGTGTGTGTGCGTGTGTGTGTGTGTGTGTGTGTGTGTGTGTGTGTGTGTGTGTGTGTGTGTGTGTGTGTGTGTGTGTGTGTGTGTGTGTGTGTGTGTGTGTGAGAGATCTGGTTCGCAATGACCATGCGGATAGCACGTTTTCCTGAAATCAACTAGAGGTTGTTCATAAGTTGTTACCGGAAAATACTGGTCAAATTTTCCACCTATCCCGACCCCCCTTGAATGAGTACTTTTTCTTGAAGACAGAACAACGACGCAGTCTCTTAACCAGTCCCAAGTCCCGTGTTCCTCGGTAGATCACAAGATATGATTGTTCACTGTATCACATAACGTCAGAGGACATATCTACAGTAAGAGGACAAAAGTACTACGGTACAAAGGGAATGAACCGTATACATTTACATTCGCGGCGCGAAACTTTTCGCGCGCGCAGCTTGAAAGGAACAATGAAGCCAGCAGTTTTAGTAATCAGGTCACGTGGTCTGTATCAGGTGAAGAATCACGGTTCTGAATGCACTAAAATAGCTCCACAACCTTATGACAACATTTTATCACGTCAAAATAATTTATAAATAGTATTATAACATAGCTAGTAAATTTGCGTAATCAAATT